TATGAAGGACCATGGTTTCTCATAGGATTATAAATGGAAGACATGTTTGTAACTCAAACTCCATGCAAGAAGAAATTCTTCTCTCTAAGGGGTTAGAGAATCCTTTCCAAGGCCACAGTTCACATGAGAACCCAAGCTGTGTAGGAGAGGAGCACAGAGACACCTGAGAGGGTGAGGGCAGAACACAGAGAATCAGACAGGAAGAACTTGGGTTTACTGAGTCCTGAAACATCCATGGCCATTTGGTGACAGTAACATGAGCCCAGTGCACATGAGGCCATGTGGAACCAAAGCAGTGTGGGGGCAAGAGAGGAGCCATTCTGGGCCAGCACAAATCCTGCCTCCTTTAGCCACATTGGTTATAGAAACTATTGTTTGGTAAGGCAGAAGTGAGGCCATTTTCTGAGGTCCTAATATCATCTTTAAATCTGGTACACAAATATTCATGATAAACACTGTCTAGTGAGCTCATGGAGCGTGGTTCTTTTTTCTTTTTTTTTTTTTTTAAAGAAAGAGAGGGAATTTTTTAATATATGTTTTCCAGTTTTCAGTGGACACATCTTTTTATTTTATTTTATTTTTTTATTTTTATGTGGTGCTGAGGATCGAACCCAGCGCCTCGCACATGCCAGGCGAGTGCGTTACCGCTTGAGCCACATCCCCAGCCCCCTAACTTCCCTCATTCTTACCCTCCTCTTTTCCCTTTCTTGAATGCATAGACCTCTGGAAGAGATGGAAACTTCAAAAAAGATGGATGGGGTTTGAGGGTGTCCATCCCCAGAGCACCACTTTAGGGACTGGTACTAGGTGACAGCTGCCATGAGGAATGAATGATCCATGCTCCTGACTGTGAACAGAAGCAGGCTGCCATGAGGACCAGTGCTGAAGAATCTCTCTCTCTCTCTCTCTCTCTCTCTCTCTCTCTCTCTCTCTCTCTCTCTCTCTCTCTCTCTCAAACACACACACACACACACACACACACACACAGATTTCAACTTGTACTATAGAGCAGCCTTACAACTATGTGAACTCAGGAGCTCACCCAGCAGCTCTGTTAAAGAAAGCACAGGCAGCAGACGCCATGATAAGCTTCAGTAGAAGAACATGAAAAGCTTTGTTCCTCCAGACAAAGGAGAAACTCCAGGATCCCATTAGTTTCCTTTGTGTTTAGACCAGGATCTTGAGGTGGCAAATGGGGACCATAAGACATTGTGATTTGGGTGCTAATGTTCACTTGTCCCACTTGTATGTTTTTGAAGAAATAAGAGAAACACAGAGGCATTCCAAGGGAAAGGTGATACTCACATTCCCATCACCCAGAACTAACGACTATTAATGTTTTGTCATAGTTGCCTGCAATAGGTGTTTTTTAAAGTAATAAAAAAAAATTATAGGCAAATCTACATAAAATTCTTAAATATGACCCCTCCAAGACTCGTTCCTCTCCCCATTTTCCAAATGATCAAAATTAGTTTTGTTTTCATTCTGTTCTTCTTGTCATTCTTCCAGTTTTGTTTTCAGCCTTTTTCATTCATAGAAGTGTCCAAATAATATTTCTTTTTTTGTGCTTCTAAGTTTACACAAGTAAATATATAATTTGCAATTTTTTTCACTCAACATTATTATTTTTAGATATCTCCATGATGATTTTAACTGGTCTATATTATATCATAATTTATTTATATTCTTACCTATAGTTGGGCATTAAGAAACTCATCAATGTTTTTTGCTGATATAAAAATATATACACACAGACATGTGCACATTCCATACGTTAAGAGAAAACAGACATAGAAATACAAATATCACAAGCTCTCTCTCTTATGTTGAAACCAAAAAATATTGACCCAAAAGTAGAATAGTGATTAAGAGATCAGCAAGGTAGTAGGGCAGGTGAAACAAAAGGGTCTTGGATTTGTTCAGTGAATATCATTCACTGAAAATAATATTAATAATGTGATATGAGAGTATCACATTATTAATATTATATTAATATGTACAGCTAATATTTGCTAATAAAAATATCATTAATGCAGAGACAATAAAGAAAATATACTGTAATAGAAAAGCCTTTGAGTATAATATGGGGGGTAGGGATTTTTTTTTTTTAAAGAAATAAACCCAAGTGGATCTGCTGAGTCATAGAGAACTCACATTTATACTATATATTCATCAGGTTGTTCTTCAGAGACTTCAGCAATTTAGACCTCAGCTAGCACTTTGTGAAAATATCATTTGTCCCCTCTATGCACAAGCATCTGCTATTCTCATGCTGTTTCAGCATTGCAACTAGTGGGTGAAAGTGGCATCTCCTTGTTGTTTTAATACCTATTTCCCTAGTTATAAGTAAAGCTGAATTATATACAGACCCTTCCTCTTTTGAAGATTCCTAGAGAAGGCTTAGCTGGACAGTCACTCATTTTATGGACTCATGCCTTGAATTAGGCTTCTCTCTCTCAGGGTATGACACACATCATACATGGTTCTTAACACAGAATAAATGAATAAGTAAATGGGAAAAGGAACCATCGACAAGCTGCTTTAGTGACTTTTAGATTTATTATTTATCAAACATATCATTTATCATATCCCCTTAGCTAATATTTATGGGAATTCACATATTTCAAAAGTAAGCTATGGTTACTTTCTTCAAACTAGTTTAAAATACTTTTTAAATATATTCCTTGGTAGTAAATGAAGTTTTCTATAGAGTTTCATAATAACAGAGTTTTAATGTTGTTCCTCTGATGCAACTGTTTAGAAAACCTTTTTATTTTTAGTCCTGGACCATATTTCAGCAACTTTTTCCCATAGAGTCACAAATTTTCAATTAATGAATATTATTTTTAATTAATAAATGCTAATTTAATCAATTGAGTTCACAATGCTGAGCTTAGAAAGACATGTTTGTCTTCAAAAATGTCTCTCTCTCTTTTTTTAATTTAAAAATTATAAATGTTACTTATGGTTCATTGTAACATTAAGCACTATGAAAGGGTATTAACCTTGTTCATTTAATTCAAATATATTTATTGAAGAGCCACTGTCTTCCAAGCAATATGATAATGCAAGTGGACAAATGAGGCAGATAATTAGAAAATAGGAAAGTCACAGTCATTCATTCAACAAACACTGCTTCATATCAGGCACCAAATTGTGCCCTATGCATACCCAAAAGAATAAGATAACATCACTGCCTTTTAGAAATTTACTTTCTGGCAAAAACATAAACATAAGATCAGAAGACCTATTCTGGAGAGAATAGAGGACACAGTGTTCAAGGGAACAAGGAACTCTTTTTTGGATAGGGCTGAGGCAAACTTAAGTCAGGGTACTAACCTTGAAAGTCTGGTAAAATCTTGAGCCCCAAAACTGAGAGAAAATAAGATAATCCAGCAAACAATACAAACAATACAGCCATACACTACATAGCCATGTTTTGTCAATGATGGACCACATATAATACACTGGTCCCGAGACACTATATCATCTAATGATGACATATCCATTTTATTTTAAGTACACTCTGTGACATTTGCACAACAATGAAATTGTCTAATGATGCACTTCCCAAAACATGTCCCCCTGGGTAAATTACGTCAATGTATGTTGAAGAATAAAGTAGAAGGTTGGAATCTAGAGGCAAGCTACTCTGAGGGATGGAGTTGATGGAGATCAGAGGCCAGGAAGACACAGAATTAGGGGAGATACACAACAGTAGTGCATTCAACCAGAAACTGTGGCCAGTACACATGTGACATGTGACTGTTTATATGTGGTGGCTGCAGTGGTGATGTAGAAGCAGGGCTGGCCAATTAAAGAAACCCATTAGAACCATACAGATTGACAGAGTGCAGTTTCTTAAACATCAATCTGCCAGGCTGTCAAAGTGGGGTGTGTTCCTGAAGCAGCGGCAGGGACTGGCCAGGTCATTGATATTTAGTGGTCCAGGCACCAGTGAAAGTTGTGGCTCCAGCCAAAGAGGAGAGGCAGAGTTGTGAAAGAGGGCGAGGCTGATGGCAAGACACATGAGGGAGTTCAGAGGTTATCACAGGTTCTTAAGTGAGAGGAGAACAAGACTAGGTTTTAATTACTGGTGGAATAACACTTAGAAAGGTATTAAATTAGCATTGCAAGAAGAGAAGTCTTGAGCAAGACAGGAGAGAGGAAGAGGTGAAGATATTGAGAAACATGTCAGAATGCAGAAAAAAAACCTCATGTTGAAGAATTTCCTATTCTTTTGGTCTGAAATAACCAACGGCAGAAAAAAAAATACAAGGAGAATGCAATCAAGCATTTCTTATTTCCTTTTCTACAATTTCATAATTCTTTTGAGAATGTAACCAGTTTAGAGAGGATATTAAAAGTGCAGTGTGAGAATCAGTTTTCTTTCACTTCCTGTTGAAGACAAGAAACATATAGGTACTTGACAATAAAAATTTAGGAGCAAGGAAAATTTCAAACTTTTAGTAGGGAAATGTGACTTTCTTTGTGTTTGCATCAGAAGAAATTATTTTCTATCCAATTGTCATTGGTTTTCAATCAATTGGTAAGCCTGATAACTTTGAATATGTTTTGTATATTTTGTTATGTTCTGTTAGAAAATATTAACATTGGTTTGTATTCTCTATCCTATGATACATGCATAGGTGTATGTAGTTTATTATTCTACTGAAAAATAAATAGAATAAATTCCAGCCTTCATAACCTGAATTTCAAGTTTTAAACTGGAAATATTTTCCCCTCTACAAATAAAGTTATATGATCCAATGCCTTTGCTTAGAAACACAATTTTAAATTGTCTTTTAAGGAATTATTAATTCCAGGGAGGGTCACTGACTTCAATTTTAAAAAATCATTTCTTTAATCTCTCCCTAAAGAGAGCCTGCTTCTCTCTCTAATCTGTTTTGTTTTCCACAAAGTTCTTTTAAAACGCAAAAAGCCCATATGTGTTATGCCTTCCTTCCCCTCAACAGCTGCACTCCCCACCACATATTTACATGATCTGGTGGCCAGCTCATCCATACGATCCTCTCATGTGGGCATCTCTGGAGTCCAAAGGCCTCTCCCAGGTGGCACTGCATTAATTATTTGCACGGCATTGCTAGAGGAGCATGCTTGCTCCAGACTCATTTTGAACTTATCAAGGAAGGATGTGGATGACATCAGGGAAGGACTTTACAAGACCCTGTCTAGACTGCCAAAACAATCTGTGGTAGGAGAAAATTGCATAAATATGGGCTACCAGGAAACAGTCATTTCTCTTCTCCCCTCCTTGTGGTCTTTTTTTGGTGTGGGACAGAGTGAAGTCTGGGCTGGCAATTCTGTAAATTATACTCTTTGAATCATGTAATAATAACTCAAGGACCAGAATGATTTAATGCCATATGTTAAGTGAATGTGGAGATCATCTCAGACCAAATAAATAAATAGAAGCACCAAATGACTATGAGCTTGTTTTAACTTACATGTTTCTTCCAATTTCTTAGCTTTATTCAATGTTTTGCGGGCTTCCTAGATAGACAGACATTCATAGTAATAATAGAAGGACGATTATGATCTAGTTTTCTTCTTTGAATGACAGACAGGGCCAGAATCCATTGATCTATGAGTAGAGCTGAGAACCTCTTTCCTGCTCACTAACTCTTCTGGAATCTCACAGAACCCCAAATCAGATACTGGGGGAAAAGGTCCTAAGTGGTTCCCATGTGCCAAACGATGTGCTCTTTTCCAGGGATACAAAGATCCACAGGCCTCTGGTGATTATTTACTTAGTTCAAACCCCCCAAACACAACATCTTTTGTTTTCATCACTGAGTCTTTTTTTTTTCTAATTCTCATACACAGGAATGATAACAAAAGAAGAAAACAGATGCACTTCTTAAAGTGTTATGGCCAGGTGAATCTGTGCTTTAGGAAGTATTTGTCTCTATTTTAAACAAACCCTGGAGCACAAGAAAAAGACTTGAGTTTTGTAGAACTGAATTTAAAATCTTAACAAGTGCTGCTTTTTCATCTCTGTATTTCCCCTTTCTGGGTTGCTATACCATCGTCCATAAATTCTCCTTTCCCTACTCACTGACCGCCATCTACTTTCTACCTGCTTTATATATCCCAAATCTATTTCAAGCCAGCCTACCTGAGATCCAGGTCTTCCAAGGACTTACTAGAGGTTACTAAACATTCAGACTACAATGTAAGTGACCAGTTATGCTATATAACAAACCATCTAAAATCTTTGTGGCTCAAAACAATAATGATATTATATTTCAGAATTTTATGGTTTAACTAGGATTTACTAGGTTGCTACTCCTCTGGCCCCTTTGGGGTTCCCCAGAAGGATATAGACAGATGGTTGCTGGACTGCCGATATGATTGGGGGATTGGCACTTGGTGCTCTTCCAGAAAGGATTTTATCTGCCCTTCCATTTTCTAGGGCCTCTCCATGTGTCTTCTCTCTCCATCTGTATAGCCTGGAATTCTTACATGGTAGCTTGTGGCTCCAAAAAGAAGGAAGCAAAAGCTTCCAGACCATCCTGACATCTGGTCTTAGAAGTCTCAGTACATTATTGTTTTTGTTAAGTTTTGTTAGTTTTTCCTTGAATCTAGATTTAAGGAAAGGGAAA